GCAGGAGGAGTGTGGACAGGATTAGTCTCCAAAGATTTCAAGGGTATAAACATCAGGGAGGGAGAGTGATTATTTACTATATTATAAGGCAGTGGTTTTCCAACTTTTTTTTCTGGCGACCCAGCTGAAGAAAATTGTTGATGCCTGCGACCCAATAGACCTGGGGATGAGGGGTGTGGGAGGGGCTTAGGGCTGGAGTGTGGGGGGTGAGGTCTGCGGCATGGGGCTGGGAATGAGGGGTTCAGGGTGTGGGAGGGGGCTCTGGGCTGGGGCAGGGGGTTAGAGTGCAGAAGGGGGTCAGGGCTCTGAGGTGGGGCTGGGGATGAGGGGTTTGGGGTGCAGGAAGGGGCTCGGTTTGTGGGAGCTCAGGGCTGGGGCAGGGGAGTGGGGCATGGGGTGGGGCATGGGGTTACCTTGGGTGGCTCCCAGTCAGTGGTGGTGCAGAGGCCGGCTTCCTGCCTGTCCTGGCACCGCGGACCACGCTGCGCCCTGGAAATGGCCAGCAGCAGGTCTGGCTCCTAAGTGAAGGTGTGCAAGCGGCTCTGTGCGACTCTCGTCTGCAGGCACTGCCCTCCCAGCTCCCAGGATTGCGGAGCTGGTCCTTGGGGCAGGGGCAGCGCCTGGAGCCCTGTGACCCCCTCCCCCCACCTAGGAGCCAAACGTGCTGCTGGCCGCTTCCAGGGCGCAGCACAGCGTCAGAACAGGTAGAGACTAGCCTGCCTTAGCCAGGCAGCACCTCTGACAGGACTTTTAATAGTCTGGTTGGCGGTGCTGACCAGAGTCGCCGTGACCCAGTGCCTTACATTCCGTGACCCAGTACTGGGTCGTGACCCGCAGTTTGAAAACCACTGTTATAAGGTATAACTAAGATTAGGAAGAATAAATTAGAAAAGGGAAAAATTAGGGTGAATACTGGGGAAATCTTACTGTCAAGAAGATCCAGCAGCCTTTGGGATAAATTCTACAGGGGAAGTGTTGAAGGCACTTCTGGTTAATGTAAAGCCACATCTAAAACGAGTGGATAAAACACTGGTAAATGTAAAAATAGAGGTCCAAATGGTTTGTTCCGTCTCTGTTTGATAGAATCCTCTCTTGGTCTCTTATTTATTTGTGGTGATAATTGCAATAAGTAGAGGAGATGATTGCACAGCCAGCTGCTACACTGCGCATATGTTGGGCAGAGAGCACAACCATGAAAATTTCCTTTGCAGTAGTAAGTTGCACTTTGTATTAGGAGAGCTTGAAGGAGATTGAGTTGCATTCTGACAACATGCTGAGGTACCACTCTGACACCATCATCTATTATATCAAATTTTCAATTGTTCCTGTCCCATGGACTGCACAAATAATATTACTTTGACCTTTTTATATGCTTTTCATCCAAAGATCAATGGGCCTTACAAAGATTATCTAAGCTTCACAACATCTCATGAGAAGTGATAGACACTGTAATCACTCCACCCTTCATTGAAAGACAGTAGAAGGATGCAGCTGTTCATGAAAGGAAGCAAACAATTCTGTAAGCAATGCAGAGAGAATTTAAGTTGGCAAAATGTAATTGTGTAGCTTGGAAGTGAACCAGGACACTACCATTAAGCATTCATTTTCAGAAGCAAAGTGCTATGTGATCTGTAATGATTGCAAAAGGTCAGAAAAAAATACCACATACTCAATTACCAAGATCACATCCTGCAGCATTTGGGTGTTTGTTTGAGGTCTGCCATCTAAGAATTGAACTGGCCTGAACCTGCTTAGCTTTGAAGAGCGGAGGGAGTTACTTCACAAGGTGGTATGACTGCAGGCCACTTAACTTAGCATATCAAAGATTATTTAACATCCCGGTGCTATAGTATGAGGAAGCATAAGATATTTTATGGCCTCTCCCAAGGGGATAAAATAACCACTGTCATCTAAGGTGTGGGGTCTACACAGCCAGTTATTAGTGAAGGTAATGATAATGAGCATGTGCAGTATTACACAAACTGCCATTGATGGGTTTCCAACAATCTTTATGACTGTTATAGTTTCATGAGAGAAACTTGTACCAATCTAGAAGACAAAGGATTTTATTTAAGCTTTTTGAAATGATGCGTGGAAAAACCCAGAGGATGGGATGTGAACAAAGGTATACCAGGTCCTCTTGATAAGAGGACACTGCCCATGCTAAGCCAGAATCCTGGTATGTGTCACCATCCCAAAACAGCAGCATAATGGGGTTCCTGTTAGGAATGTGCCTAGTGTATTACTCTTCCAAAATTGCTTTAGTGATTTGTATAGCTGACAGAAGAATGTATAGGGCTCAGGAAGTTTGGCAAGATGTGCCTTTTTCTTTCCTCCATTTCAGTCCTGCAGTCTGATGGGGGTAATGAGAATGGAAAAGTGGGGGGGGATTCAAAATTAGCACAAAGTGACCTACAAGTTTAAAAAGCTTTCTGCCACTCCCCCCTCTACTATAAAAGCACATTCCTCAAAAGGTAGCCAGAACCCTCTTATGGCATGTGAGCCCCGGATACCGTCCAGTGGTTCTGACTAGTGGTACTGAATAGCATTATATTCGTCAATCTGTCATGTACAAAGTTAGTAGTGTTCCACTGGTGCTGGTACAGGATAAGGAGGAGGATGCTAGCAGCCATACTACTTTGGGCTCTGATCTTGTGAGACATATTAAGTTAAATAGTGTTGAACCTGGTCAGGACATTGGTGGGACACCTGTGATGAAAAGCATGCAAAGCAAGGGTACCACAGAAGTATTGGTGATGACCAGCTATCACGTGTGGTGCTCTTCCTCTGGTTCAGCATTGAATGGATGCCTCAGAATGATCTTCGGGAGCACTATGCTGCTGGACGTGACCTTTTGGGTGAGAAGTAAACAAAGGCCCTGATCATTCAGATATTCCATAGCACTTTTCATAAGAGTAGAGCTATTACCCCTAGTGCCCTTCCCTAATTCCAACTTTGATAACATACTGCCCAAATTAACCTCATCCCAAATGGTTACGGTCTCCTTAGTATTTGTTCTGGCTGGGGTTAGAGCTCAGTGAGGAGAGTGTATGCTTAATTACGGCAAGCCTCTACAGTACAAAAAGAAAAGAGTAAATACCATAGAATGCACTTATGGTGAGGTTATGGCTTACAGCAATCTGGGTATAGTTCAAAGGTTCCAGATTTTAGTTCTCCCTCTCCTGCTCTCAACAAAAACATGGTGCATGGAGCCACCTCCTTTCCTTGTATTCCCTGTTTAGATCCCACATGACTGGGCAGGGTACTTGGTTGCACCTTTTTATTTCACGGGGAAAGGTGGTAGCAGGAAAGCTTCCCTGCCTTTTGCTGCTGTTCATGTTGCCGGGAACCTGAGAAATGTCATCATTAGCCTCCCCATCTCCCCTGCCCCAAAATAAAATATCCTCAGTTGTACTTCACTGTAAATGGGGCACAATTCCTCAATAATATATTGGGAAAATGCTGGGACTTTCCATTTTGCAAAACAGGTTTCCTTACAAGCAAGTTTTGTTGAATAGGAATATGGGGAGCAAGAGATCATATGTTCACTCATACTCTTGACAGTGATCAAATTAGGCCATAGTTTCTTGAAACTAGAGGAGTGTGGCTAGCCAGCCTGCCTGCCTCCCTCCTCACCCGAAGGTTAGTTTATGTAGAAAACTCTGAATGCTAAATTACATTGCAGCAAAGAAAATATTAGAGCAGGTTTAGTATGTCTAATATGATTGTATATTATTATGCAACCCAAATTTAAGAATTAATCCTTCATTGTTCGGACAAAGTTAATGTAAAAACTGCGCTAATACAGTGATAAGGCTGACAGTTAAAACAGACAAGAATTCAACCTTAATATTAAGTTAAAAAGTTTAAGGGTTGCACTGTAACTCTGTCCCCTTATTATTTTGTACTTTTATTGCCCTTCATCAATGTATGTCTTAATATATATGTCCAGTGTGGTAGAATTGAGAGAATATTCTCAATTGACTTTCCTGTTGTTTTTAAAAGAGAATACCCAATTGATTGCACATTAAAATAAACATGTTTATTTTAATATATGATCCTTCAAATGATGGGAGGTGTGGAGATCAATTTTATATCCATAGCCTTGGCCGTATTGAAATGTTTATTTCAGTGAGGTTTGCTTTTTAAAATCTGTGTTTAATTCGACATTCCAACAAGTGCACTGTATGTTTGTTTCAGCATCTAATCATAGAAATCAGTGTACCTCTATTTATTTTCATGTACACTTCTCCAGATAGATGTTAGCATGTGAATGCAAGTCTAAAGACCACAACTGGTGTCTGTTTAAATCATTAAAGAAAAATAATGCCTACTATATCATCTTTCAAAGAGAACACTTCCTTAAGTGAATTTTCTTCAAACAGTTGAAAGGCACTTGATTTCACTGATGTCTCACTTTATTGTATAGTAGAGCTGAAGTAGTAAGGATAAGCCATTTGTGTTAGAATGCCAAAATAAATGTTAAAAACTGTATCCTCTTCACATTTATACTACTCACAGGAGTGAATGGGGTTTTACAAAACTTTTTTTCAAAATTCACTTTTGAGCTGAGAGAAAATTTGAGACATTTAAACCCAACAGGAACTTTTAGAGAAATATAGACGCATAGGCTTAGAACAGAATGGCCATCTCAGTCTTCCCTATAGTGTTACTACTGTAGTGCTATAAACGGGGTAATATTTTCCACGTCTTTGATGTTAGCAGCATAGCAAGAATAGTGTTTTTTGCTAGTTAGTTCCTATACTGTTTTTGATCTGATTCAGAGGAAGCAATTCATCTGCAGTTACACACAGATGTTGTGTGGTGAGTGACAGTAAGGAGGATGATAATTTAAAAAATGAAATAAGATAGAATTAAATTGAGCATATTGGAGAAATGTTCTAGTCTGAAAATTCTATAAATAGCTATTAAATAACACTTCTAAATTGTGGCTTGAAAATAAATACTAAAATTCTTGTCTTTTTAACATTTGTTTTTAGACCTTGGTAATGTTATGACTTCCACACCAAATTCAAAGGCTGTGAATGGTAAAGCTGAGAGCAGTGACAGTGGAGCAGAATCGGAAGAGGAAGAGGGTCATGAAGAGGAAGAAGAGGAAAAAGAAATACGACGAAGTGAAAAAGGTGTAGTTTCTTGTCCTGAACTATTATACCTTTTCCAACACAAAGGGCTGTATTGCTCCCCTAAATGGCTGTAAATCTTGAATGTCATGTGTGAGATACATCAGTAAATTTATTTTGTTTTATACAAAGTGCACAGAAAAATACATATGAAGAATGGGATCACCTTTCAACCTGAATTACCAGGTGAAGGACTAAGGACAACAACCCTAAAACCTGTTTCATACAAGCAGAGCCCTGCATATATAGAGAGCCTCATTAATTTTATTAGGGGTGTCTCTGCACATAACAGCTTACAAGATCAGGGCCTAAGGTGGGCTGTGTATAGTTATTCTGTTTTATGTTTAGGACCTGTTTATCTTGTGGGTGGCTGTGAGTGCATGTAGGCGCATGGGATACAACCACAGAATTAAAAATCCTATTTCTTCCTTTTCTTCAATGAAAGATAAAAGGAAAGTTTTTCAGTGAGGACTTTGTGTGCGTTTGTGGGGATTTTAGGAAAATACAGGTCTCATATGAAAACCAAGAAAAACTATGCATTTAGAACTTAGCCATTAATATTTTTTTCTATGAGAAAACTAATAATCCTCTTAGTTTTACTAACTGATGAGGGCTACAGTGGATTTGCTACTTTTATATTTAAAAATACCTGTTTTGCTTGCTATGTAGAATGAAAGTTTAGGATTTTTTTTGTATTTAAGCTTATTTTATTTAAAGGTGCAGAACTAACCCTGTGAACCTAACTCCAAGTAAAAATGTAATCTAAATCAGATTCAGACCATATAAGATATACACAGCAGATCGGAAAGTCAACTGTCTGGAGAAATGTGTTTTGCACCATAAGTCACATGGCTTTTTATTTGCAAGGTTTCCTTGTTCTTTCACAGACTATAAGAATGTAAAGCAGGACTCAGCAGCAGCTAAGGATTTGGAAAGTATTGTCACTAACGGCTGTTATAAGGACAACTTTATTCCAGAAATGCAGAATGGCATCCAGACTAAAGCTGCCCTGAATGGCTTAAATGTGGAGGAAGAAATAAAGAAAGTGGAGCAAAGTCTAGAACTAACGGGAAAAACTAATAACAGTGTTCACCAAGGTATTGTCCTCACATGAGTACATTGTTATTTGCATATTCTCTGAGCAAAGCTTACTTCAGGGATTTGGAGAGCTGCAGCTGGTGCCCTTTAACCACAGAATTTTTAAGAAAGAAAATTAAATGTGATTAAAATTAGAATACAGGTTTATATACACTTTTTCCCCTGAAGATCTGTAATAGAAAAAGAGATGATTCCAGAGACTGGGAGGCCCAAAACTATTTTTTACTTTCAGAAACTTGATTAGATTTGTTTTTGTTTTAAAAATTTCATATATGTTGAAATGCTATTTGAATTTGAACCTAAGAAGTAACAGGATGAAAATCACTGAGATCTATATTATAACTTCCAAAGACTGTGTCTATGAACTCAAATGTTTAAATGGCTAACTTAAATTTTACCCTGGAGACAAATCAACAACTTCAGACTGAAATACTGCTCTACAATGTGTTTGGGAAAGGGAGTGAAGTAAACTACAAAGAATTAAACCCTTTGTTCTAGAACAGGAATGAAATGGTTAATAACTGTAACTGTGGTTCTTCGAGATGTGATGCATACGTGTATTCCACTTAGGTGTGTGCGGGCTGGAGCCAGAGAATTTATGTAACTGGACCTGTAGAGGAGTAGCACTTGCACCTTGTGACCAGTAGACCCTCCCCTAGCTATATGAGTTGGTGCTGCCCCAAGCCCCACTCAGTTCCTTCATACTGAACGTCTGGAGATGAGACTCTGATGCAGCGGGGATGGAGCGTGGGTTATAGAATACACACATTAGCGGATTAGCCACTGGGCCAATGGGACCCATGCCCAGGGGCCCTGGCCAATTGGGGGACTCCCAGAAAAATGGGCACTCTGACCCGCTCCACCTGCCCGGCACTCCTGCCAAGGAGCAGGGTTGGGGCGCAAGGGCTTGCCCCTGTCTGCCTGCCCACCTCGCGCTCCTGCCGGAGAGTGGGGTTGAGGTGTGGAGGCTTGCCTCCCTGCATGCCCGGTACTCCAGTTGGGGGGTCAGGGCGCGGAAGCTTGTCCCCCTTCGCCCACCTGGCGCTCTGGAAGCCTCTGCACCCCGACCCTGCTCTGCGGCAGGAGTGCTGGGTGGGCGGAGTGGGGCAAGCCCCCATGCCCCAATCCCATTTCCCTTGCAAGAGGGTTGGAGGGACTGCAGGCGAAAGGGGTGGGGAGGGGTCCCCACTTTCTCTGGCCCAGGGCCCCATAAAAGCTTAATGTGCTTCTCCATTTACATCTGCATCACATCTTGGAGAATCATGGTTACAGTTTCTTTAAGTAGATGCAAATTTTTCATGTTTCTTCTTCTTTGAGTAGATGCAACCGCATATTCCACTTAGGTGACTCACAAGCAGTACGGCCTTTCTTCCTCCCGCCCCAGAGGCAGGGCACAGAACAAGGACTGTAGGACCACCCTTCCGAATGTTGCATCCACCCTGGAAGAATCAGTAATGGCATAACGGTTTATAAATGGATGGATGACCATGTAGCAGCCTTACAAATGTCCAATATGGAAAAGTCACTGAGGAATGCTATTGACATTGCTTGTGCTCTCACTGAATAAGCTTGCGCCTGCTGAGGGAAAGAAGTTGAAGCTATTTCATATGCAGTCATCTAGAGTTTGTCTGTGAGGAGACCACTTGACACTTCATATTATCTGCGTATGACACAAACAGGTGAGGCAAAGCACAAAATAGTTTAGTTCTGTCCAGATAGAAGGCTAGACATCACCTGATATCTAATGTATGGAGATGCTGTCCTCCAGCGGTGAATGCAGCTTAAGAAAGAACAAAGGTAATTATACCGCCTGGCTCAAATGAAATTGAGAAACCATGTTAGACAAAAAATGTGGATGTATCGTAAAGTCACCTTGTCTTTGGAGAATTGTGTGTAAGGGGGCCCTGCCATCAGAACCTGCAACTTTCACACTTTCCTTGTGAATGTTATTTCTACCAGGAATGCAGCTTTTTGACACAAGAGCAGAAAGGGACAAGATGCTAGGGGCTCAAATGGAGGTCCTATCAGTGCCGCTAGGACCGTGTTCAGGTCCCACAGAGGAACTGGCTCTTGGACCGGAGAATACAGGCAAAGAAGCTCCATTAAGAATTTTACTACCATGGGATTGGAGCAGACTGATCTCCCCTGAATAGGGGGATAAAATGGCAATATTACTGCCAGATACACTTTCAATGAATGAAGCACAAGTCCTGACAATTGAGGGTGCAGCAGGTACTCCAAGATGTCCTGGATGGAAGCCAGCTTTGGTTGAATTCTGCATGTCAGTGACCACATGGAAAACTGTTTCCATTTTGCCGAATAGACTGTCCTGGTAGAGGGCTTCGTATTGTTCAGTAGAACCTGCTGAACAGTTGCTAAACACTGCTCTTCATCCTTATTCAGCCATGCAGCAGCTAGGCTGTGAGATGCAGGGAGCTGAGTATGGGGTGCAATGTGGGCTCTGATTCTGAGTGAGTAGGTTGTGATAGAGAGGAAGGGATGGGAGACTGAACTGATAGCACAAGAAAGTTGGAGAACCAGCACTGCCTTGGACATGCCAGGGCAATGAGGATTAGCTTAGAGATGGAAGGTGTAGGACAGGGAGGCTCCTGTCCACCTTCCACTTTAGGATGACCTGTGGAATGATTGGGATCAAGGGAAAGGCATAGAAGGGAGCCGCTTGCCAGCTTAGAGATGGAAGGCGTAGGACAGGGAGCTTGGACTGAGGCCTCCTCAAGAGCAGAACAGGTGACATTTCCTGTTGTCCCTTTTAGCATATAGGTTGATCATCGGAATCCTCCTGGTTAGGAAGATAGTCTGGAGGATGCTTGTCTTGAGGGACCACACGTGACTCAGGGAAAAATTCCTGCTGAGATAGTCTGCAAGATGATTCTGAACTCCAGGCAAGTGGTTGGCTATCGGCATGATACTCTCCTTGATGCAAAACTGCCACATCTTGACTGTGTTAACGCTGCCAGAGCCGATCCTGCTTCAGGACTGAGCCTGGGTGGGATGATTCTCGAGGTTCTTTCAGGGGAAGGTTCGCCAGTACCTGAACCTGTGGCAGATCACCAGTCGCAACTACAGACCTGGTCAGCGATCTTGGCATTGAGCTGGATAAGGAGTAGGACCTCCATGACTGAGGAGTGGCCCACGGATTCCATGAAGGCCACTGTTATGAATAAGGTATTGGTGGCCTGTAGGTGCCAGGCCAGGGCCTCTGTCCCAACCACGAGAGGAGCACCAGTCCTGGTACCCATAGTGTTCCATGAACAGCCCTCGCTCAGCCGGTGGAAAGTGGGAGGAGTAAGATCCTGACTCGGACGCCAAGGAGTCCCAGCCTTCGGCGGATTATGGTGGGGCCAGCCCAAAGGATGCGAGTAGCCGGTCTGACTTTTCTGTAGCCCAGAACGAGGGGGCTGGTGCTGATGGTGGAAACAGTAATGCTGGCACTGAGTATGCCTCCATTGTTTCCGGTGCTGGGAGCAATGTTGACCCCGAAGTCAACATTGGTATCGATGCTAACTGACGGTGGCAAAGTGGAGGGCGGTGACTGCCGCCACAGCAACTTTGGCAGTGCCAGCCATGGGGGTGCTGAAGAAGTACCCTGGTGCTGAGGAGGTCCCTTGTGCGAACTCTGGTACTGGCCCCATTTCCATTGAGTGTGTTAGGGAAACATCGGGGTGCATCGCTGACAGACCCATAGGTTCAGCAGCCTGCCCAGCCAACAGGGCTATAAAGGACACAGCCCTGAAAAAGTTCTGGACCAAGAAAGAAGTTGGGACAGAAAGGCAGAGGACACCCACTTCTGCCTGATATGCCACCGGAGGGGAAGCAGCCGGTGCTGGCATCACCCTCGTCAGTACTGGACTCAGCAGATGCTTGAGGGCCAGAACCGGAGTCAAGGTATAGGATCTCTGACCGACCTCCCTGCATGGTGCTGGGGAGTGGCTGATGCTCCATCCCATGCACCACCATTCAACCTGTGCCGATCCATGCTCCTTCTGGAGGAGGAAGACTTGTCCTCATGGGACCTGGAGTGGACTTGGACAGTCTTATGTGACTTTGTCCTTGGCAAACTCGATGGGGAATGACTCCTATCTCTTGAGAGAGGTGCCAGCTCCAGGACGCGGTGGCAGCATTCTCCAAACTAGAGGGCAACCTGTGATCCAACGAGGGGCTCAGTGCCAAAGCAGGTTGCATGGCCTGTTCGAGCAGGTGCTGCTTCAGATGAAGATTCCTCACCACTTGAGTCTGCTTCGTGAACAATGTGCAAATTGAACACCACTCCTTGATGTGGGTTTCACCTAGGCACAGCAAGCATCACTGACTCATTACTGGGGATTGCCCACACACACACAACAGACCATGTTTAAACCCTGGTGAGGGTATCATGAGGGAACACTAGAACTACAAGTAACACTAAGTCTAATCCTATACTAGGATTACTAATAAACTATATACTACTAGGAAAAGAAGTCACTGAACAGAGGATTGTGAGGTTGAAAACCTCACAGCCTTGACTCCAGCCACGGGCAGTAAGAAGGAAATGAGGGGGGTGTGGGGGTCAGGGAAGAGCCACCTCATCTAGTCAGGGGAGGGGCTATGGCCACGAGAAGCTAGCACCATCCATCTACCGGTACTGCTGTGTAAAATTCTCCAGCCCCAATGTGCACACACCTAAGTGGAATACACAGCTGCATCTACTCAAAGAAGCAGCATCCAGTTATTGAACTTATCTTTTTCTCCTCAATAAAAGTAGTTTTATAACCTGTAACTATGTAACTCCTATTCTTAATCTTTAATCTATGGTGCAAGATTACCACATTCAAAATGGTGTCAAGTGTAGCTCACTTGAATATTGTCATTTCCTTATTCTTTGTCAGAATTGGCCTAATTGTATTTATTGTTTGGGTGTGTATCAATTACGTATAGGTGCAAATGAAGACAGTGTTGAAGAGGTCTCAGGAATTCAGCACTTGACGAGTGATTCTGATAGTGAAGTTTTCTGTGATTCTATGGAACAATTTGGACAAGAAGAGGTAAAAAAAAAAAAAACCCTGAAGTTTCATACTAATGGGCAAATTTTTAAAGTGGAATGTAATGAGTTTCACAACTTCTGTTTATATAAACAGGAACAACAGAAGATGTGCCTGGATTACTTAATGCTGTACTGTGAAAATGTGAGAGCTTCCTTTTTGATTACAAATGAATAATTAAATAAATGTTATAGTCTTTCCTTACCTAAATTAAATGACCCCCATTTACCATACTATCTGAGTGCCTCACAATACCCTGTGAGGTAGGGAAGCACTATTATCTGAATTTTATAAATGAGGAATTGAGATACAGAGAAACTTGCCCAAGCTCATACAGTGAGACTGTAGTAGAACAAGAAATTGAACCAGGGTCTTCCAAATTTCAGGCTAGCACCCTAACCACTGCACCACATTCCTCTCTAATTGGTTCTTACGGATCCCATAGGATTCCTTTAATCTTGTTAGAAGCATCACCCAATAGTAAAACTTGCTGGAGAAGGTGGTGTGGCAGAACTGTTGCAAGCTCCCTTCCACAGTTATACAGCTAACTTTCTGATATGTGGTTTGAGCTTGCTGGGGCTCTTTAATTGAGGTGGGTGGATAACTGGCAAACTATATGGAGAAATCCAAACTTGCATGAAAACACTGACAATTAGAAGTGCTTTGATCATCCTAGTTGAAAACTAAAAAGCTCTTTTGGAGCAATTGGAGGGTATTATCTGAAAAAACCAAGTATAACTTTTTGCTGTTGTGAAAGATTTACCAAACACTATTGCGTAAGCTCTGAAGGCATGAGGTTTATGAATTACATCCAGTGAATTTTCAGATGTAGTTGTGGATATGTAAATAGAGGTTGCGTGTAGGTCAGTGGTTCTTAACCTGTTTACTATTGTGGGCCACATATATGTAGCTCTCTGTGTTATGTGGGCCACATCCACACAATATATATACTACCTGTATGGCTCTGAGAATGTCACATGGGCTGCACCTGTGTGCTGATTGGGCTGCGGGTTGAGAACCACTAGTGTAGATGGTAGTGGGTTATTGCATTAACTTTACATTTTTGGAAAAGTTAGTTTGCTGGTTTACGTTGAAGGTGATGACAGGTTTAGTTGCCTCATTCTGTTCTCCATTTGTGATCCTAGAGCCAGCACTTACTTTGTCTTGAGTGGCAGCTATTTATGGGACATCAAGGACAGGGATAGCGTGGGTTTTGGTTGGGAGGATTTAGATGTATTGGTGGATCTGACTGAGCTTCTACAGCATCTTTTTGCTTTGTGCCTGGCCTAAACCAAGACTGTTATTAACTTGTGCTGTGAAGAGTGGGGAAAGTTCCTGCATTTTTTAAAAAGTGAACTTGAAGAGGAAGTGCTGAATATGGGAAAAGAGTCTACCTATAAATACTATTTTGGGAATAATGTTCCTCTGATGCATGAGAGGTTATATGGCTAAATCCCAGCAACTAGTGATGAATGGAGTTGCAGGTGGCTCAATTATATGTATTTTTCTTTCTGGAAGAATTTTTTGTTAAGTCTTTTGTTAACTTGTATTATGCAGCCCCTTTAGGTGTAAGTGTCCTAACCTTGAGATTTAATTTTTTGAAAGCTACACGAACAAACAGTCTCTCAAGCATTTCACATTACATAAAATGTTTTATATTTTGGTCCAGAACATATATATTTCACATACTAATGAAAAAGGCTCTTTAGTTTAAGAGTGTTACATCTGAATTTTATGACTACTTTTAAAAAAAAATATTAACTTCATCATGTTTTCTTTGTCAGTTATCCCAGGTATATCCTATTTTTATCCTCTCCTCACCCCTTAAGATCATACACATTTTAGTGTGTCATATCATTCTTTAGAAAATCAATAGGTTGAGACACACATTTGCATAGCTAAAATGTTTAACAACAAATTGTATTTAGTTTGTCCTCAGTATCCATAAGGTTTCTTTTTTAAGTGAATAAAAAGTAGCTGAAGCTTCATTTCAAGTTGATCAACTATTCCTGTTTGTTCCTGTAGGGAAAGTAACATGGGCTATGGGATGCATGGCACCCTGAGTTCAGTTTAAAAAAAATTCCAGCCAATTTTTTTGGTAATATCACACTGCATTGGCCTTTTCGTTTGGCTCATGTGCTTCTATAGGTCAAAGGGCTGACTACAGATTAGTGAAACATTCCCCTCAAACTGGACAGGATATGTTACATGTCTAAAGAGAAATCTGTACAAACTGCCGTGTGAACTTGGGAATGAGTTCGTATCTGGTATGCATTTCTCTGGCCTTTATCATGGTTTGCCTTTCAGCTGGTGTACATGTATATAGTCTAAATCCTACACTATTGCAGATTTAGAGAGGATAGTTGATGAAAGGATATTAGCAATGATTGTTTTGTGAAAGGTGTAAGCTGATGGCCAAATACTCCTAAACAGAATGACAGTGTGTGACTGTTGGATCACAGAAACTCCCCCGGGGCTGCCAACTGATGTGCCGAGACTACGTCTGCCCCTGCTTTCCTGCCCTCCCAGCGTGGGACTTCAGTTCCCTGCCTGGTTTGAACCAGACCCGCTAGCCTGCTGCAAAGCCAGACCCAGGTCTGAACCACGTCCCCTAACAGCTGTAGGCTTAAACTGAAAGCAGCTTAAGAGAGGGATAGCTCAGTAGTTTGAGCATTGGCCTGCTAAACCCAGGGTTGTATGAGTTCAATCCTTGAGGGGGCCATTTGCAGATCTGGGGCAAAAATTGAGGATTGGTCCTGCCTTGAGCAGGGGGTTGGACAAGATGATCTCCTGAGGTCCCTTCCAACTCTATGATTCTATGAAAGCTAAGTATTCCTGTCTTTAACACTCAGATGCCCAATTCCCAGGGTCCAAACTCCAAATAAATCCGTTTTACCCTGTATAAAGCTTATACAGGATAAACTCATAAATTGTTCGCCCTCTGTAACACTGACAGAGAGAGATGCGCAGCTGTTTGCCCCCCCAGGTATTAATACATACTCTGGGTTAAATAATAAGTAAAAAGTGATTTTATTAAATACAGAAAGTAGGATTTAAGTGGTTCCAAGTAGTAACAGACAGAACAAAGTGAATTACCAAGCAAAATAAAATAGAACACACAAGTCTATATCTAGTATAGTAATAAAACTGAATACAGATAAAATCTCACCCTCAGAGATGTTTCAATAAGTTTCTTTCACAGACAGGACGCCTTCCTACTCCTGCTCCTTTCCCCTGGTACAGCCCTTGTTCCAGCTCAGGTGGTACCTAGGAAATTTCTCATGATGGCCACCCCATTTGTTCTGTTCCACCCACTTATATCTTTTGCATAAGGCAGGAATCCTTTGTCTCTCTAGGTTCCCACCCCTCCTTCTCAAAGGAAAAGCACCAGGTTGAAGATGGATTCCAGTTCAGGTGACATGATCACATGTCACTGTAAGACTTCATTACCCACTTGCCAGCACACACACATACAGGAAGACTTACAAGTAAAACAGAGCCATCTACAGTCAATTGTCCTGGTTAATGGGCGCCATTAAGATTCTAAACCACCATTAATGGCCCACATTTTGCATAACTACAATAGAACCTCAGAGTTATATTTCATATTTCTAGTTTCAGATACAAGAGTGATACATTTATACAAATAGAATGACCACACTCAGTAGATTATAAGCTTTGTAATGATACCTTACAAGACACCTTTTGCATGAAGCATATTCCAGTTACATTATATTCACACTCATTAGCATATTTTTATAAAATAATATAGACTGCAACGTCACACAGTGCATGTCCTGATATATCTTCTATTTAATTGCTGTCTATTCAAGCTGTCTCATGTGATTTGCATTCTGACAAGATGGTCAGCCAACTGAAGTCAGGGCACTTTTTCATATCAGAATTCCCTAGTCTTAAAAGGAGAAACTGAATAGTGTTCAGTTTGGTTTTTTTTTTTTTTTTGAAGCTTAGTTTTTAGTAATTACAAAGATATAATATTTAATAATGTAATATCTAAAAATAACTCCCCTTGCAATTTATAGCTTGAGCAGTGTTTTGAAGATAACTGTTACAATAGTAATCAATTTTTAAAAACTAATCCTAACTAAAAGAAGGCACATAGGTTTTGTTTTATTTCCAAATGGAATGTTTTGGAATTTATAATAATTCTTACAATTTAATTAGAATGCTTTAAATATTTAAAGCTTTTTACAAATTACAAACACTCAACCTCAATACCTCTGAGATGCTAGGTAAACAAGTAATCCCCATTTTACAGGCAGGTATATTAAGGTAAATCTTCTCTTATTTCTAAAGTAGTCTTTCTAACCTGGAAAGGACATCTAGAAAATACTAAAAACATCCTGTAGGGTGATAATTGCTTCTGTTGAAAGCAAAACCTTAACAATGGGGAAGCTCAAAAAAAAAAAATTAAAAAGTGGGTAGAGGACACTTCATCTTTTATTTGATAACTGTCAGATTTTACAGAACACATACTTTAAATTAACTAGATGCTGCTGTTAATTTGTAGCCCTTGGAAGTGATTACATCAGCCAAAGGACCTTTACAACATTCATCCCATTCCTTGGAAGTAGATCACAGTCCTCTATTGGAAAATGCTGGTTTTCCTGAGCATGCTCACCTGCCCTCTGAGAATTTTAGAGTTGAGGATATAACAGAGGCAGCAGTTGAAGGAAAAGGTGAAGTCAAGTGTGGGGGAGAAGATGGCAAAAGCAGCGATGGAGGCCCTGACAAAGAGAAGAAAGGTGGAGAAAAGGTGGATTTCCATGGAGTCAGAAGAGGGAGAGGTACTGTGTGTGCATCACTTGTATTTTTCTCACTATACTTCCACGTATAGATCAGCTGAGTAATTTGTCAAAATTGAACACTAGGGCAGCAATGCTGTATAATGTTTTCATCCCACCTTCTTCCATAACTGGATAAATAAATATTGCACCCCTAAATTCCAGTGGTAACAATTAACCTTTGCTTTAAGCATACTTTTTATTTTATTCATAATAAGAGTCAGAAAAGAGTGTTCTTGTACTGGACAGTGCTTCAGTCAGCCTCATGAGCTTAATAGTGGACTGTTTTGGTTTGGCTTACCTTGAATTCCAAGTATCACTTAAAGCACCCTTCTGTTTTATTAGTGTAATCTTTCACTTCCTCTTCAAACCAGATTTATATATGTAGAGAAAGGAGAGTTTCTCTGCAAGTTACAAGGTACATTTTAAGCATCAGAGTATTTTTACTTTTACCGTATCCGAATTGAGCACTTCATTAAAATATTCATTTTTGGTATTGTATTTAATTTGGTCAGTCTTTGGCCATAGCTGTTTGCCTTATACTAATACAATGCCTAAATAACTAAGATATGAGGCAGTCATTTAGTAGTCAAAATCTTCAATATATGAGGGACTGCCCCCACACCTCTTACTACCCGTGTTGATTTTTAACAATATTGAGAACTATGATATGGAAGTAGCACTCTTTTCTTCTTTAAAAACTTGTATTTCTACACAATCAGATATCTGCCATTGGTTTAAATGTGGCCAATGTTAAAGCCAGTTTGTTCATCGGAAACTTGGAAAAATGTCTATGAATGATAATTACAGGCTTTTAGAAAACACTGTGAAATGAGCAAATGATCCGATATGTGAAAATTCCTTGCTGAGGTTTGCTGCTAGTATAATAGAGTCGTGTTTTATTTAAAAAAAAAAAAACCCACACAGCAGCTGGCTCTCTCCTTGTTTCCAACTGGCACTACAGACTATCATTAGCAGAGATTTTTAAGAAGAATCCTAACACAATCTCTAGATTGAAAAACTAGAATGGACAGGGTATGTGATTATTTATCCTACCCCCTTTCTTGATTGCTACTTCCTAACACAACCTCAGTAGCCTAAGCACAAAAAATTTAAAGAGAAAATTAAGTTTGACGCAAATGTCTCTCTTTTTTTTTTTCATCCCGTTTCTGCCTTCCTCACTGTCCCAACGTGTCCTCTACATTCCATTTGGATACATGAAAGACCTCCCTAGTTTTTCCTCACCTACCCTTCATGACAGGACAGGCCTCACTGTCTCTGTTAAACTGGGCAGAGGGATCACTGCTTAGCTTAGGGAACCTTGCTGAAACCTGTATGGAGTTTTCATACCCAGCATTTTACTGTATGGTTTCTTCATACACTAGTCTGCAAATCATGGAAGCATGAATATAAGTCATCAGGATGACTGTAAATGTGTATCCTTATTTCACTCCATTCCCAGATTTGTTAAACTTAGTATTGGAAGCAGTAAAGGCTGTAGCACTGAGCGATTAAACTAGAGGAGTCATGTTATGTGGGAGGACAGTGAATAACCCTAGATTTGCAGATGATATTGACTAAGGAGAATTTATCAAGAATAACTGACAAGGTAAATGGGGAAAGCAGAAAATTCAAATTGAAGATAAGCATGGAGAAGACAAACTATGGAAATTGGAAGATAAGAAGAGGTAAAGATCAAAATCAGAGACAAAGAACTAGAAAAGTGGAAACATTTGTGAATCTTGGAGGACTAGTATCGGAGAATGGAAATCACGAAGATGCCATGAAAAGAAGAATCAGACTAGCCACTACTGCATTTAGAAAATTCTGCAAGATCTGGAAGGCTAAAGACATTTAGATAAAAATGATATGACCGCATATATGAGGCAGCTGTCATGCCGATACCACTGTATCGGTCAGAATGTTGGAGTATGAGGAAAGCCGATGATCGTAATGAACTGGCTGCGAGGAATACTGTATGTGTCAAGACTGCAGAAAAAGAAAAATGAAGTGATAAGAAAATGACTTAAGCAAGAAATAACTGTTATGGAAAATTCAAGAAAGACTACTGTGGTCTTAGATGTGTCAAGAATAGACCTGGAAAGGATACCACATGTGGTGATACATACCCAAATACAAGGAACTAGAAATAGAAGACTAAGGAGGCATTGGATAGACAAGGTGAAGAATGACCTAGAATAAAAAGAAAAGGAGTACTTGTGGCACCTTAGAGACTAACCAATTTATTTGAGCATAAGCTTTCGTGAGCTACAGCTCACTTCATCGGATGCATCCGATGAAGTGAGCTGTAGCTCACGAAAGCTTATGCGCAAATAAATTGGTTAGTCTCTAAGGTGCCACAAGTACTCCTTTTCTTTTTGCAAATACAGACTAACTCGGCTGTTACTCTGAAACCTGTCATTGTAGAATAAAAAGGTTTAAAGATAAACAAAGCCATGAGGCTGGTAAAAGACAAAGTGGTTGAAAGATTTTGTTTGGCCTCCTCATAGCTGTTGAGCTGACTATGGGAATCAAAGAAGATCCTGCAAATGACACTTATAGTTCTAGACCCTTTACTATAGCATCACAAATACTGTTGTAATAACATCCTGGTTCTTTTATACAAGAATTTAGAGTTAAATAGAGGATACAAATGTTTCCCTTGGTTGGGGAAGTGGGAAATGATAAAGCAGTATAACCAAACATTTTCAGTAGAGGCAATAGCTTCTCTCTGTTTTGTTTTGTTTCCTCAAAAATTTAGGGCATAGGATGCAGCCTCTGGGTGATGGTGCTCAAGGTGGACAGATGGGCAGTGGAGGGGATGGTGAACGCTGGGGGTCAGACAGGGCACCGAGGGGCAGCCTCAACGAACAAATTGCAGTAGTGCTCATGAGGTTACAAGAAGACATGCAGAACGTCCTTCAGAGACTGAATACACTGGAGGCACTGACAGCCTCCCAGGTAAAAATTTGTCCAGATTAAATATAACTTTCCAAGAAAAAAATAGATAAAGAAATGTTGCTTAACTAGCAATGCCTTGAAAAGCTCTCTCAAGGGGATATTTTGGATAGTTTCTATGCTTTTTAAGATAAGAAAGCAAGAATTAGGTCTATAATCTAAGTTATTAAAGACATTTTCAAATCTTTTATTTTGCAGCTGTGAAGTCTAGTTGTATCTAGTCTCCACCATAATAGAGTTTGTGTCACTTCTACACATTAAGTCAACTATATTAGTTGGTCCTTCCATTGCAAGTCAGTGCATTCCTATAGAAATTTGTATTAATTTCCATCTGAGGTCAGAGTGTACCATTTTGATACTTACTAGCTTTGGTTTGTATTTAAAGGCAAGATCTGTGATGCTACAGTCAAATGTACAACCTCCCTCATCTGCTAAGGTAAGATTGTTGTTCATATTTGTAAAAGGCAATGTTTGGAACAAGATAAAATGGCTTTAGATATCTTACATGTTTCAAATTTTGCCTGGCTCTTGAACTAGAAGGAGTAAAATAGAGGTCTTATAATCCAGTCTCTGAAGAAATGATTGAATAAATCACTTTTAAAATGAAGTGTAAACTATTTCCTTCTGCTATGCGAGTTTCTATTTTTTTGCACTTTGACCCAGTAGTATTTAAAGTGTGTTTATGTACTAGCATCTAATGTACTGGTACAAATTTCTGACCACAATTTGTATTTTGTTTTGCTTAGGGACCATCATGGTGGCCCTTTGATATTTCTCCCGGCACTTTAGCCTTTGCTGTTGTATGGCCCTTTGTTGCCCAGTGGTTGGTGCATGTATACTTTCAAAGAAGGCGAAGGTGAAGATTTATTTGTATTCTTTTACTCAACAGAGCATGTGCTTGTATATTTGTTTTCATTTGTTAGACATTACAGTACTCTACTCATAGGGATGAGCACAAACGAAGATTCTGCATTCATAAACAATGACAAGCATATTCTTACATTGCATGAGGCTTGTATAACATGAATAGAGGACGTGGGCGGTGTCAAAACATTAAGTAGATTGACACCTAGTGCCCCTAAAGAATCCTACATTTCCTTGAGCTTTCACTATTCAGGATGTAAGCTGCTGAAAGTTCCACTCTAAGTACCAGTGAAACTCCCAGTGCTAAGGATGGGGTGCTCAACCTAACCGTGTACCAGAGCCTTTGGAAGAGACTGGAATAGGAAGATATGGGATCTTGCTCCCAAAGAGGAACAGAATGGATGTTCAGCAAGAAATTCAAAATTAGCTACCACAGCTTTTCCCTTGCAGTAGGCAATTTAAGGGCATTTTCAGGAAGTGACCTATATGGCTTTACTCCCCTGCAAATTTCTTCATCATAGGAAATTATCTGCTAAGTTGACTGCATGGGCAATATGAACTTAACCTGGCTAACCGTAAGCCTTGTGCAAAATGAAACACCGTACTAATTCCAGTGAGTATTATCCTTATATGTCTGAGGCCGGCTGGCTCCCTTCTGCTTGACATCCTTAGGTTCTGTGGCCCACAATATCCTCCTGAACCACCTCCATTGTTGTGCAGGAGTCTCTGGTATCCTCTTGTTCTGCTCTTGCCTAGCAAACAGATTTCTCCCTGTAAATGGAGATAGTTCCTTTACAGAATTCCAGTGTTCAATGTTCAGTTTCTTATTCTAGCTACTTTCTCTCACTGTCCTCTCATCTGCACCTGGATTACTACTTTTATTCTGATAACAGTACATATTTTTCAATGTTTTGAATACCTTCCTCTGTCCTGTCTTGATCAAGTGATCTTGGGCTTCTTTTCTGCTTCCTTTAGCTAAATGACAGTAGCGTTGCTTTAATTAAGAGGAGCACCCTTCACACCGTACTTAATCTCCTCTATTTCCCTTCTCTATCTAAGCATGGAAAGCTCAAGTTAGTGTTTTCTAAACACTAGATCCAGACTCAGACCTCACTGCTGACTCCATTGTCTTAGGATGGTGTTATCCTTTATCCCAAACTCTTCTTATTCCACATCTTTCTGCAGATCTCTCTCACTAGATTTGTTAAATTATTCTTTGATCAAACTACATCTGTACTTTGAAAAATGGCCATTGCTCACACGTTTTAGCACAAACTTGGAATGGACACTGCCAGTTAAGGGTTCTCTTATCCCATTTCCTCAAATATAAGTATACTACACTTGCATTACACTGCCCTAACATCACTGACAACAGGTTTTATTCTATTATTTTTATACTAATTTAAAAAAAACAAAACAAATGAAGTAAAGGGGCCAGCCTACCTGTTCAGTACAAGTGCAGTGTGCTGCCATGTGGAAGATCTGTGCTGAGGATCGTAGCTACAGAGTGGTGAGGGGATGGACATGCTGCATAATGGTATCATTTTTATACTCCAGAGGATTTGGAATTCAGAAGTTACCTGAATCTCTTGATCTTCCCAGTATGCTGCAAAGCCAATCTGTTTGGGGAGCATAGAGGTGGCTGGGATTTTGAAAGGGATGTTTTTTTTTTTTTACTTTTGGTTAGTGGCAATGTGGTGCTGGTGGTGGTGGGGGGTGAGCTATGTGGTAATGGAGGAGAAAAGGTGCTGCTATTGTGCCTCATATTATTTTTGTACTTTGTTTTAATTTAATGGAGAGATCTCCTAGAGTGTCAGATTCCTTAAAGGTATAGTTACAGCCAAATATAATAAATGTATGGATTATGATTTAAAAAAAAACCTACTTACGTTTTTTATTTAAAAAGCACCCAGGCTGACCCGTAGCACCTGTGCACCATTCTTAAACTTGATCATCTTTTTCTGTTTAATATACAAATGTATACTGTAAAGAAATATATGGTGTATGCTAAAAGAATAAAGGGAGGATATTATACCTAATTTCAAGTAATTGTGGGGTTTAATGTGTAATTAGTTTCATAATGTTAATTGCTTATATTCACATCCTGTCTGTTGTAAGTAAAAAGTCATCACATAAGTAAGTTTTAAGTGGCTCTACTACGATTTTTTTTTTCTTCAAAAGCTAAGGAAGTGGGGTTAAACTAATTACATGTTTGGTTCCCTTTAGAAAACTGATCTGAGAACTTAATTTTTGATTTCGCTTAAAGACTACTAGGACTGGGACAGCCTGGAGAGAGAAGGAATTCAGAATTCACATGAGAACCTCAGGATCTGTGATGGCTAAATCTTCCTTCGATTGTAGTAATTTTTTGCACTACATGTGAGCTAACTACTTAAGGACTAACATTACTGATACTTGAATGATCCACTGCTTCTAGATTACAAGTAAAATAAATAATTATCCCACCCTTAAACCACATGAACATTAAATTATTAATTATGCTTTTGGAATGGATTTCTGGCTGGGCATTCTGTAGAGATGACTGATCTTTCTTATGGCAATTAATAATGAGGGGGATGTTAGCTTTGTAAAAAGAAACCCCGCTCTATTTATGGAATAGAAAATTGTAAAACTGTCACTTTAACATGAGGATGATTTTGCAATTGCAGTAACTCAGATTTCTTTCACGTTAGATAGAAGTAGTGACTGGGAAGACAGTGTAAGTCCTGTGTGTACATTATATGGTGGCTGAAAGGCTGCATGTAATAATGTAGCTCTGAAAGCCTCAACTAGTCTGTTTTGCTGCTAGACAGATGTGAGGTACATTTCTTTGTGCATCAGCCATGGGTGGAATCAAATATTTGACTCTGCATAATCCTGCCATTCATTGCACTTCCATATGTACCCACTCCCCAAACCGCTTTAGTTTTAGCAGCCAAGCATCTTGCATGTTAGAGACGTGGTAGTAACATGGGACAGATTATAGACAGTGTATGCTGAAAAGGAGCCATAGAGAGAAGCTGCACTGAATAATACTTTAAATTCATGTCTCTTTCTTTACTACTAACCGGTTTCATTTTAATTGAGACATGAAGTTTATGCACATAGTGCTTTAAAATACAAGATGAAAACTAGCTACACCCAATATTTGTAAGATTTTACAAAGTTTAGTCCAGTGTAAGCTATTATTTTATGTAGTAGTCAATTTAAAGGATAGATGAATTAATCTAGCCTCAACATCTATGTGGCCTTTTCCCACCCCAAAACCTACTTGAGAGAAAACATCTGTTTCCATATTTTCCTCGTATCCTTCCACTGCATCCAAATATTTTCCAAAATATTTATCCTAATTTTGATGATTATTTTCCTTTCCAGTGGTATTTATTCATACATAGAAATTTTATTGATCAGTATAAAGGTGAATATATTACAATCTTGTGAGGTTTGCTTGGTCGAAGTATGCTTTGCAGTTTGATTTTAAAATATGTATCTAAGTTACATAGCCTAGATCTATGAGAAGGTGAGCAGTATATTAAGATATTTTCTGTACAAAGTAAGAAATCAGACCTATATAGTAAAATGGTTGCTTTGCATTTGCAATGAAGAGAAGAAAAATTCCATTATGCCGTAACCTACATTTAAGACCTGAATCTTAAAAACTACACTGTTGTTTATGCTGTCTCATTCTTCAGTCAGTGTGATACATTATGAATAATTCATGGAAAATGTCTTTTGGGATAAGGCATGCTTTCTGCCCTGTAAAGTCTTTTATTTTATAGTTTTGGAAAGCACTTTTCTTACAAGTTATACTGTATAAAACAGATGTAATTATAGGATTTAATGTTTCTGCCTTGTTTAACAGAACATGATTTTAACCTTGTCTTGAAATACTTTTTAAAAAAAAATTTCTCCCTCTTCTGATCTTCATCTTTGATGTAAAACTGAGTTACTAAATAAAGAGTGACAAGAGAACATCTCTGATAGCATGTCCTCACAAGCAGCTGTTTTGGTGTAACATATAAACAAACCTAGCATGACTGGAGATGCTGAAAGCTTAAATTTGAATTAAACCAATCCTCCAATAGAAATTTTGCTATGGTTGCGATCTAGGCCTCCATGAAGCTATTCTGCCCGTCCTTTAAATAGTTGATTGTCATATTGTAGACAGTGAAAGAATTAAGATTACTGAGCAAGGAGGGTCTGCATTAAAGCCTAGTTATGCGATCATATTTTTTCAAAAATGTGTGTGACTGCACCCTCAGTTACTGCAAATATTGGTGCAAATGACCACACCCATCGTACACTGCTTGCCTCTCCCTGGCTATGAGTGCATGCACAAAGTAACTCAGTTCATCTTTTTTTAAAAAGGCCTTAACAAATGTAGAAACATTCCTCACGCAGAATATCTGCTTTACTACTGCATCATTTTGTACTCAGTACATAAGTGTCTACCAATCCTCCTACCATGACATTTCCTGGAAAGAAATAAGTTCCTGTAAGTTTTAATTCCATTGGTGCTGCTTCCCTGTGCTCTTGCAGCACTAGCAGCCTCAGTAGATATCCCACACTAGATATGGCTCTGGAGCTCATTGAGGGTCTAAGTGACTGGGTTAAAGTGAGAGTCTGAGACTGGACCTCCCAACCCAGCAAGCAGCTATAATGAGGAACTACAAGGCCCATCATAGATCATTTTCTTGCCTCTTTCCAGCTCAGCTGCAGTGTTTTCTTTTCCATAAAGACCTGTAACAGACTCCTTTCTGCTGCTTTACAGGGCCAGAGATATTGGTTTACGAGACAAATGACAGAAGGGCATCATGGCCTTAACTCCTGAAAGCCTCCCTAAATGAATCAGAGTGGTTGGGTGCATTGAGTATGCTACTCCAACTGGTGCTGTCTAAATCTTAGCTGCTGGCAGCCAGAGTTGGGTTTGGGGATAGTGAAGGTTGTTTTCATTTACTTAGATCTCATCACAATAACTACAAAGTCATGTAAAGGTGTGGTACTTCCAGCACAGATTGCATAGTAGGAGCCAAAGTGAGAGATGGCTCCTAGGAACAGTGGCAGCTTGCATACTGATGTCAGGGAAGGCAAGAGGTCAGCAGAAGATGATAAATACAAACAAACAAGCAACCCGTAGCACCAAACCCAGCTCCTGTGACCAGGAGATTAGCCTGCTATCTCAGAAGGGTAGTCACAGAGGCAAAAGACTTGGAGACCCTGTAATCAAGGCAGCAGCAGCATCAGTGCTTCTCTCCCCTGGCCAGAGCAGAAGGCAGAACATAAATGAAAGCCTAGGCACTACTCGCTGTATAGAATGGGCTCATGGAGGGGAGGGGAGGGGAGGTGTGCCACATGATTGGCCAATGGCACAGTGTCTCAAGTGAAGAGGGCAGAAAAATATTAAAAATAAACTAGTACTGCATGGGGCAGAGTAATTTATGAAAGTATTTGCAGAATGTCTTATCACTTAGATAAAACATTACAAATTGATTCTTCCTCCTCAATGACATTACTGACCCTCTCTGTTCTAGGTAGTTATTTAAATCTGGGGGGAGAGAAGAGGTTGGAGGTGGAAGCAAAGCATGCAGCAACAAACAACTTCTCTCAACTGTGTACCCTATATAAAATGTTCACAGACTGGTCCACCACTTGAACCCCAATGTGGTACTTGTTTATTAGCACATGTAAATGGTGCACCTGCTGAGAACTTCAAAAGGTTTATTTTTATTATACAGGTTTCAAAAAAGTTTATGGGAGGGGAAGCATCAAAATGAAATCTAAGGCTGCATGTAGAAGAGATATTTATCAAAAATACCTTACTCTGAAACAAACAAGTACAGTGTAGTGCTAGCTGGCAGGTCACACAATTTCATAAAGGACAGGTTCCAGCATCCAATAGAAAACAGAGTAGAATGTTTTGTTTTACCAAACCGGGTAAATTCAGCCCATGAGCAGTCAGAGTTTGAACAAACATCAGCTGCTTAGAAGATTCCACTGAGCTCATTTGTAAGTGATGATGAGTGAGTCCCAGAACGGAGTAGAGGCACATGGGTTAGTTTCTCTCAGCTACTGGAGTAGTTCTAATAGTTGTGTCCAGGGTTTCAAGGCTGCTAAAGCCTGGGCTTAATCAGCAAAAAGGTAGTCAATATTCCAAAGCTTCTTGGCCCTAACTGTCTGTGCCACATATAGATGAAAAGTTTCTCAGTCTGATTAGTAGTAATAGTAGTGACTTTGGCTACAGAGCTAAGTGTCTGAGAGCCATGACCCTTTAAATACAGAGATTTTAGTGGACTTGACATTTCTTGAGCTTTTTAGTCAAGCACCTCTTAACCCTCAGTCCAGTTGACATGAACTAGGATGACTTTGAGGTCAGGTGGTAGCTTTGGAATTATGTATAGATTAACAAACAAATATGGAGTGCATGGAAACCTAAGGGCCTTAAAAGAAACTGCTGGCCTAACAGCTGCACAACAGACCACAGAGGCAGCATTCCACAGCATCCAGGGACCAAAAGGCCTGTTCTAATGCACTCATTATGATTGAGATAACTAGTTAAGGGAAGATTAAATTTGTCCAAGGCCTCCAAACCTCTTATTTTATGCCTCCGTCATGTGAAACTGGGAGGTGGTAAATGGGTAACAACAAATGTTTGAAACAATACATGATAAAAGGATAAAGCTAAAATAGTTTTGAAGAAAGCATTTTTTGGATCAGCTTGCTTAGTCAACATGTAGTCTTAATTCCATGATGTCTGCACAGTAACAAAAAAAATCAAGATATTCAATAGAATTAGATGAGAATTTCATATTCAGCTGTACAGACCAAGAAAAATATGACCCTGTGCAGCAATGTTTTATAAGGACGCATACCATTCATATTAATACACTCTGCTCTCTGACTTGTCTACAAAACTTACATACAGTGTAATGAAAAAATCCCATTTCTGTCATTTTGACTTGCAAGACTTTATTATGGTAAAATATATAAACATCTAAACTGGGTTCCTTGAGATAGTTTTTGAAACAGAATGGATGGATACTACGGTTCTTGTTTATACATGTTTTACAGTGGTTTGATTTCTAGTTTTATATTAATGCATTAGACTATGTAAAAATGATTAAACACTTCAAATAGTTCTGTAGTTCATGATGCACATTGTAATTAATTTGAAAAATCTTTAAATAAAAACTCATCAGTTTGTGATCCTTTATAAATTAGGCAATCTTGGTATTTTTTGTTAAATATTTTCTTGAAGAATTAAGCTGGTACATTCAACAGAACATCCTAACAAAACCAAAACCCTCACTAACAGCATGAACTAATTATGCTAATAGATAGTTACAGCCTATTTCAATTTCTGTTAATAGCGGAACACTAAAAACTTAGTTTTGGTGTTCACCTTGAACAGTTTGCTAATAGACTTTTATGGAAAGATAATATAGTGCACCATAAAGCTGTATTTCTCATTAAAAGACTAGTTTTCTAACTCCTAACTTCTGCAAAAAACAAAACTAATCCAGTGACATTTTCAGATGCTGTACTTCGTCTCAGGTTAAGATTTTTTTGAGAGTTTGGGATATTTGGATATAAATGCTACATTTCTCTTCAAAAAAGGACCTGTTATGATCTGCAGCTTTCTCTCACTGACAGAAAAATAGTCCTCTGTTAATAATGTGCAGTAATAAATACCTATTATATTCAACATTTAGAAAACCATCACTATTTAAATTGCTGCTCCATGCACAAACTAGATTCAGTGATCTGCAAGTATGCAGAAATCAGGAGACATTTCAGTCAATGCAACGAACTATAGTGTGGCTTCTGACATCCCAACATTCCAAGGTGTACATCATACCATGTTTTCACAAGTCCCCAGTAAATTACAATGCAAACATGTCGCAACAATTCTGATTTTGTGACATTTTGCAACTGTTTGATCTCTTGTGCGGCTTCTGGGACAAAACATAGGGTGATTCTTCTCTCTCATACCCTTCTTGGCTATTTGGAGCAGGAAATCTGGCAACTCTGGATTAGTTCACGCTCCATTCACTAGCCTTGTGTGCGAGGAAGCATGGGAAATGAATGGTCATCAATCCACTTACTTGGTCTGAAATGTCAGTTCCATGCAACACCCTGAAAAGCCACCTGATGATTGCTAGCATAGTGATCAGTTCTGGGATACAGCAGCTGGATTACACCATGGTACAGCATGAACCTTCCGTCCCACCCCCACTGCAGCATTGAAGCAGGAAACGAAAAACCTTATAATTAATTGAATGAAATTGTAAGCACTAAAAGACAGACAAATTTTGTTTAATGGTGATTCCCATCTAAGATAAAGGAAAACAGTTTTAACAGAGACAAAAATCAGGCATTATCAGAAACAATCTCCACAATGCAGTAGATAATCTCTATGTATTTTCCCAATCTATTAAAATACAGCTTAGATTCTTCATTAAAATGCTTAGTACTGAAAGTCCTAATTTTAACTCAAGTTTTATTGAAATTGAACTTATGATGTTCTCAAATTAACCAATTTGCAATACATTATATAGACTTTAATATACATACTTCGTGTTTTCATTAGCAAACAGATTTTTTTTTTTTTAAACATCTGGCAGAGTGACACAGGAAAGAAGCCGAATAGATCTCCTCAGATCTTCTAAATTTAAAATAAACGGGTCACTAAAATAAATACTGTTCAGTCTATCATCCCATAATGCATTCAAAGTCTTTTCAGTATGAAAATTTAAACAAAGTCTATTTGTTTTTTTAAATTTGCTATAAGATTCCTTTACTCTGTGCATTTGCCAGGGAAAAAACGTTGGCAGTAAAAATACAGTTAAGTTTTACAACACTGATATCTCATCAGCCGAGCAGGCAGTGTATGTGACCTAAGGATGCCAAAAACATCTCTTTTCTCATCCCACTAAGGAGTAAGATGTTTTTACACTGCCCTGAGACCTAAAAAACTTCCATTTTC